ACTGAACTGGACTGAACTGGTCTGAACTGGTCTGAACTGGGCTGAACTGAACTGAACTGGTCTGAACTGAACTGGTCTGAACTGGACTGAACTGAACTGAACTGAACTGAACTGGACTGAACTGAACTGAACTGAACTGGACTGAACTGGACTGAACTGGACTGAACTGGTCTGAACTGGTTGAACTGAACTGAACTGAACTGGACTGAACTGGACTGAACTGGTCTGAACTGGTCTGAACTGGTCTGAACTGAACTGAACTGAACTGAACTGGGCTGAACTGGACTGAACTGATCTGAACTGGTCTGAACTGGACTGAACTGATCTGAACTGGTCTGAACTGGTCTGAACTGGACTGAACTGAACTGAACTGGTCTGAACTGGTTCCAGACTATAAACTGGTGTAAACTGGTTTCAGACTGTAAACTGATGTAAACTGGTGTAAACTGGTTTCAGACTGTAAACTGGTGTAAACTGATGTAAACTGGTTCCAGACTGTAAACTGATGTAAACTGGTGTAAACTGGTGTAAACTGGTGTAAACTGGTTTCAGACTGTAAACTGGTGTAAACTGGTTTCTGACCTCGGGCCTTCCTCCTGTAGTAGATGAATCCAGCCAGAGATAAGATCAGACCCAGGATCAGTCCTGAGGCTCCGATGGCGATCTTGTTTCTCTCTGACTCAGGCATGGACGGATCTGAGGACAGACAGGTAGAGACAGACAGCTGAGCAGACAGACAGGTGTAGAGACAGACAGGTGTAGAGACAGCCAGGTGAGCAGACAGACAGACAGACAGACAGATAGAGAGACAGACAGGTATTTACCCCAGTCAGTAACCAGAGGTTCCTTCAGGCTGGCGTGCTCCACCACACAGGAGATCTTCTCTCCAGACCTTCAACACAAACCAACATGTTTCTGTCACACCACTGATCTGGACCCAACTGGACCCAGCTGGACCAACTGGACCTAACTGGACCCAACTGGACCCAACTGGACCCAACTGGACCCAGCTGGACCTGCAGGTGGACTCACCTGGGTGTGTACTCCAGGTGAGAGTGGACCTGGTAGAACCAATCACCATCTGCCAGCTCATCAGTGGAAGTGACATCAGAGGAGACTTCCTGTCCGTCTCTGTGCCAGCTCACTCTGATCTGTTTGGGGTAGAAGTCGAAGACTCTGCAGACCAACATGGCAGGATGTTTACCAGCAGGGGGCGTCGTGGAGTAGAGTCTGACGTAGGGCTCAACTGGAACACATATTATTATCATTATTATTATTGTTGTTGTTGTTGTTCTTATTATTATTTTATTATTATTATTGTTTTTCCTATTATTATTTTCTTATTATTATTATTATTATTATTATTGTTATTATTGTTG